AGGCATTTATGGAATAAATTTAAGGCTTCAAATGTGCTGATTCCCAAGTATACTATCTTTTTGAAGGCACATTAACTAAGACCTCTTTTCATTTTCACTGATAGGGCAGAAGTTAAAATCTGGGAATTCTAATGGTAGGAGGCAGCTGCTGTTTTTAGAAAGTCAGATGGGAACTTGAATGGATCCCAGAGAAAGGCCCAGAGGTTTTATGGTAATTCATCTATCCCTAAGGGAGAAAACTGTACTTCCTTATACTTCTTTTTCAGTTTCCTTATATTGCCTCTAAATTGGCACCGACTACATAATTTATTGTCAAAACTGGAGACTTTTGATAGTGGAAAAGGCTGATATTAATAACGAATTAGTGAATGTGGGTAAACCAGGACACATGGCTATACTGCCTCCTACTAGGCAGTGGGAAGTCCTACTGAGGCTGTTGCAGGGCTTGTAATATAGACCTTGAGCTGGAATCAAAATAGGAGTCCGGAGCTCAAATATGGGATCTGCACAAGTACTTCGGAGCGGGGACTCTAAGCAATATACACTGAATATATTTGCTTAGCTTTGTCTCACTTTAGAGATTGTAATTATATGTCCATTATCAAGATAGAAGGTTGAGGATTTGTTGTTCACCATAGTAGCTAAATCTTTTGTGAACTACTGTATTTTTCATTCTTACATTAGACTTATTTGGATACTCTTTTGATGTCTAATATTTATTTGACCTGATGTACTTATTATCTCTTTGATGCCTGTAATTTCTATTATGAAATTTTCATTTCTTTTATTAAGTAGGGAGTCTTAAAATGCTTGTCCAAATTTATAATCCCATAGGAATCATTAAATGGAATAAGGGGAATCTAGGAATTTGTGAAATATACACATACACACAAATTTATGTACATATTTAGTTTTGAGACCCATATTACATTATAACAGAAGGCCTCTCAGTTTTTATAAGATTCCCAAAGTTGTATGAAGTTTTAAAAAGTCAATAAAGAGTCTGAACTAAAACCTTTAAGTTACATCTTAATCAAACATAATATTATCTTTCTGTATTTCATATCTCCTCCTTAAGTATATTCAGAGTTAAAAAAAACACTGGATAATGAGAAAAATAAAAACCATTAAGGAAATTTTCTTTTCACATGAAGCCTTTTGGAATGAGAACAGGTTTAACCTGGCAACTTAACAATCCTATGATTAATTTAAAATATAATAATGAAATGATTCATAACAACTCCCAAAGCTATCTTCCTTTCGTTCCTTTGTTGCTTTATTGTAGTGCCAGGAATGAACTTTAGGGCCTCACTCATGTTACAGTGCTTTACTACCAAGGTGCATTTCTAGCTCTCAATTTTTCTCTTAAATGTATAGGGTAAATAAAATCTTTGAGGAATGAGGTCTTGTGCACTAGGCTGTGCTCTCAGAGAAACTGTGCCATTGGGGCCGTGTTCTGTCATCTCTCTAAATGATTAATATGTTTTTTAGTCAGGAGACTGCATTTTCACTGTGCAGGGCGCTCTACAAATTAAGTGGCCAGTTCTGCCACCATCCCTGCCTGGCAAATCTAACCCTAAAGAATGATGAATTGAGATTAGGACCTGAACATTGAGTATGTGAAGGAAAACACATTGTTTCACTGTTTCCTAAGCTGAAACAGAGAGATATATAGGTATATAAATAAAAGGGCTTTGGCTTCTTGTGAAGAAAAAATAAAGTATGTAAATAGCCACTATTCCTTAGCATTTCCTCTGCTTTCAAGGCTTTACTACATTGGCAGTGGGGGATAAAAGAATTGCTCCACAACTTAGAAAAACATGAACATACTGAAAACACAATGGTACCTCACTTCACAAAGACTTTTGTGTATAAACAATTTAGTTTGCAAACAAACATTTGGCAAAGTTTTGTTTTTGTTTGAGAACTTTGCATCAGGTGATGAACATGACTGAAGACATCTTTCCCACATGAACATGAATGTAGCCATCTTTTTCAGAATCACAGGACAAATTGAGTCCCTGAACCGAGCTTCAACTGTATGAGTTTTGTGGTATTTACTTTGAGCATGGCTCAGAATAGCACAGAAGTTTCAAAATTACGGGGTCTTGTAGAGGTAAAGGTATACTGCTTTATGTGCCAAGACAGCTTTGTTCCTTTGCCCGGTGGGGCCTGAAGAGGTGTACTGTACTGTAACAACATTAGCAGGGTAAAGATCTTGAACATGGCACAGTTGTGTCCTTGAATGTTGTTAGGATTTAGGAGAAGGAATGGTTAACATTCATTTACCTGATTTTAAAACCAGATTATAAAATAAATGAACATTTCTACACCAATATGGTTGTCCATTTCTGTACAATGCCAAGTTAACACAGTAAATTGGGATGACTTTTTCCAAAGTTGGCAGCACCGTTAAAGTTTCCCAAAATTCAATATATATATACACACATGTGATATATATATATACATATATGTGATATATAT